TTAAAATGTTATTCATATTTGAGTCAAATATTTTATTTTTGAAATCGCAAGAATCAAATATCATAACATTATAAAAGTTTAAAATAAAAAAAATACTAAGTTTTATGCAATTCCCCCCTTCCCTTAATAGCTTGCTCTGTTTTTTTTTTTTTTTTTTTTTTTTTTTCCCGGGCATTCTGCAAGTATATTAAAAAGCATCCACTTTCTTAAACATCTTGGTATTTCTGGCATTCCTTTTAAATAAAGTTATCACTTTCCATTTCATCGAAGCCTACGGCTGAGTGGTAATGTTGCTGAACACTGGTAGTTCGCTTCGGGATTCAAATCCCGGCAAATGGACTGGTTGCATGGCCGTTTTCATGGCTTTTCTCATGTGCAATGTGTATGCCAGCTGGTTTCCCTTAAAAAGTTCTTCACTAAGGCATTCTTCCTTTAAGGCAGATAGCCCTGCTTTGCCGTAATTTAATAATCAAATTCAATCCATTTCATCAGTATTTGGTCAGAGCCTTTATCAGTCTTTAGTGGCTAAGCATTTTGAAGACTGGTTTCATCAAGAGGGAAAACGTCTTTAGATGATATCCATATATGTTTTAGAGACATGAGGGTTTTTTGGAAACAGGAGACAAAAAATGATCAATGCCCTCGCCGGTAATCGAACCACGGACATCTCGAATATGCGCCGAGCCTGCAGACCACTACAACACGAAGGCACGCTAAGAAGGCAGGAGAAATACTTTATGTACCCCCTTTTAAAGGGTGACTGGGGATTAGGGGACCCAGTTGCCAAATCCTGGTGGTGAAGAATCATCATTCACCACCTTTTAGTTCGGGCACCACTGTAGGCACATTAGAGTGGTTTTTTTTTTTTTTTTTTTTTAAGCAGGGGAAATTAAAAATGTGCAAAGCCATCTCTGGAAATCGAACCACGGACCTTGCACCGTGCATGCAGACCACAACGCTATGAAGGCAGGAGTAATACTTTATAATGTCACTGGATAAATTCCTGAATATTGAAATAATTTGACTGAGAAATCATGGGATGTTCCATTTATGATACGATATGATGCACTATGGCGCAATTTAAATTTATACAACCATATAGTCAAAAACCAGTTGCTCTTCAGTTTAATCTGCAATGATATGGTTTTTGTCTTTTCCGTTAGAACTAACTCAATTGCTGCTATTTGCTGGTGTGCATGTCCAAGTGTTTTCTCTTTGAACACCCAACTATTTTGAAGTAGATTCCTCTTTAAATTTTTGCTTTTCCCTTCTAATTCCCTTCTTTATTTATATATTTGTTTTCAGTTCTGACAAGAATATTAAGATTTTTCGATTTTTACACTTCCATAAATTTTGCATTCTTGTCAAATTTTTTTAAAATAGCCATTGCATCAAATGTGTTTCAGCTGAAGATAGCTTTTCATTTTCTAGACATCTTAACTATAAATAAAATTTAAAGCAAAGTCCAAAGGATACACATTTGAATTAAAAGATTTTTGTTAAATGAGAAAGAAATAAACCACTCCAGCAGTGCTTATCCTGTACCGAGTGGCCCGATTCTTATATCAGGTGCAAACAATCAAAATCGTATTATTTAGAGTTTTTAACCCTAATCATTTCTATAGTAAAGAACTTGTTTTTCTACAACACTAGAGAAAATTACTACTTAAAACATTCTTTCTAAGAAGATTAATGTAAAAATTTTATATTTATATATATTTATATCTGTAGTATAAACCAGTCGCTCTTCAGTTTAATCTTTAAATTTCTGCTGTAGTTCAAAATTATATCTTATTCTTCACACTCCATTTTCCCTTACTGCACCAAAATTTCTTATCAAAATCTTTCATTCAAATGTCATTACTCTATCCTAATCTGCTTATTGTCCAACTTCCATATAACTAACTAAGGTGCTGTAATACTGCATTTTAGTTTTAATGCTCAGATATTTTGATTTAAACTGGCTTCATCTCCATAATAGCATCCGTAACATCAATAAGGTTTCGTAAACCATAATAGCATCTGTTAGCCATGATATTTGGTTCTTGATTTCAATAGTTATATCATTATTATTTACAATTGTATCCAAATATTTAAACTTTCCAACCTCCTCAAAAACATATAATTTGTTTTCAGCAGTTGTGAACTTAGTTTTGTTCTTCATTGATGGTAAGACAAATATTGTTTTGCTGCCGACTCAAGAGCATAAAAAGCCTCAACAATTACCACCTTCATTCTTCCCACGATATCATTAATTTCAAATAAAATGCTCAGTGCACTTAAGGATAAAATTTTGCTCCAAATAGTAAAAGAATTTGTGGTTCATTTCTTGCATTTCTTTCATTTATCAAGTCTTGCAGATTTTTTTTAAACTACTATCCTGAATAAATTTATAACATTAATAAGAATAAAAAAATCTGATGTGTACACCACATGATTTCCTTGTACGGAATATTAAATTATACGCATTTTTTCTTGCTTTTCATTTAAAATTATTGGATTGGATTAAATCTACTTCGCCGACATCGCATAACCAGAATAGAATAAATGCATTTTTACTCTAGTATTTGTTTACCATAGCGACACTCTGGTGCTAGATTCACTTAACAGTATTATATTTCATTCATATTATAACAAAGAATGCACAAAATTTATATCATTTAAAGAATAGAATTATCTAATCGTTGCCACATGTTCTATTCAAATACTATAATAAAGCTAGAATGATGTATAAAAGAAATTAAGCAAAAGAAACAGTTTTTCACAGACGATTGAATATTTCTCATTCAATTAATTCAGTTCTCACTTCGCGACAAGGAAAAAATACATAAAAACTCAAAATATCTGTATTTAAAATTACAAAGTAAATCTTAAACACTTATTTCCTCGAAAAAATTCCAGAAAGGATTAAGCATGATTTAATTCGCAATAATAAATGAATGCGTTATTTTTGTTGTTGCGAAGCTAAGTTTCTCTAGATTGGCAACAAATCCACTAGTCTGCTGTTTCAAATGTAAACAAGCAATGACCATCATCAAAAAAATTATTAGGCTTAGCGGCACTTAAACAACTTTAAAATTGTTGATAATTCAAAAATTATTTCATACAGATTTACTAAAGGCATAAAAACATTAACCAGAAGATAAGAACAACATAATTCAATCATTTTTAAAGCAAAAAATGTACAATTTACAAACATATAAGAGTAAATAAACTGAGATCACCGAGCTGGATAACAGAGTGGATATATATATAAATATATTTATATATGTTTGGTGCAGCTGATTGCAACCAAAATACGAGGTGCACATCTACATGTTATAGCAGTCCTATATACCAAATTTCAACGTTCTGAGGCTACTCGTTTTTGAGTTATGCGAGATACGTTCGTACAGACGCCACGAAAAATTCTCTTCAGAATTAATTTTAAAGCAGTTTTATAATTTTTTTGGAAGAAACAAGTCTTTTATTCTGTCCTTACGTACAGATATCGCGCAAAAACATCATTAAATTGCATTCGATAGTGGTCAAAATGGATATTTTCATTGAAATATGCTGCCTGAAACTTTTCACGATTACAATACAGTCAAAAGTCGTTAATTCGGACACCCATAATCCAGAACCTCAAAGCTAAAATCTTTCTGCGCATGTGCCACGTTAACGCATGCGCATACGCGTTTTACGCGTGCGTGCAAGACATTTACGACTGCGCATATGCGTCTGCTCAAGTGCAGAACACGTTTTCGCGTGTGCATTTAATGTATAACGGACGGTATAAGCTAAAATTTCTAATTATCTATTTCAGTTAATGTTGATGATTGCGTTGTTCCTTAATCTTCGAATTGGATCCGGCGTATTATTTTTTGCAGACTGTAAAAGCAATTTTATAAAAGTAAGCTTGAACTTTCGATTATGTCAAATAGAATTTCCGATGCTGGAGCTCCCAAAGGATCTAGAAAACGAAAGTATGTTTCGATGTCCATCAAACAAAAAACGAATTGCTCCAAAAATGGATAAAGGTATATCCTTTGTTTATCTAACCATTCCGAAATCTGTTTATCAATTTCACACTGCTCTGCGTGGGGGGGGGGGGACGTTGCGGCGCGCAATGAACTGGAAGTTGATCTGTAGGCACTATCGTTATCTTCAGGGCAGATGTTTTTATTTTATTCGGCTTATAATTCCTTACTAAATGTAGTATTTAAATCTCGATGTACTCCGTCTTTGATATGATTTAAATCAAATTCCTCGTCATTATAAATATCACGAATACAAATCAAATAGTTTTCTGGTTGCAATTCTCTAATTTCGGCTATGCGTAAGGTATGCTTTACGCATGCGCGCGTTGAAAGAAATGTTTAATAAAGTAAACAAATAATATTAAGCTTTTTTTTGTAAATTTTTGATACCCTTTAGATCAAAATTGCTCATTATTTTTATAAATTACGGTTTCATATTTTTAATTTTATAATTTCTGCATGCCATCTTACCAGATTTAAACTGATGATCTATAATCCGGAATCGCCGAAGTCCCGACGAGTTCGGATTAAAGACTTTTGACTGTACTTACTTTTTACTTCGTACAAGGAAGTGAAAAAGGCATCTTTCAAATAGACATACAGCAACTTGTATACTTACTTCTTCAATAAAACTTTATAAAAATATTTTAATATTTTGTAAATGTGTTAATAAAAATATGCATTTGAAAATTTATAAATATTCTGCTGTGTTTCTCTGACGTGTTTATGCAGAAATCAGCATGCTATTTCTAATGCATAGCATACTAAAAAATATTTTTAAAAAAACAGCATGAATGAAAAAATTTCCTAATATACCATTTTTTACCATTCAAAATAAACTAGATTTCTTTTCATCTGTATAAAGCACATTTCTTCAGTTTTAGAGTTAAAATGCATTGTACTATTGATTTTAATTCATAGAATAATTTGATGTTTTCAAATACTTGTGAATTTGGATTTAATCAAGCATCAATCATCAACAACAATTCTTAAATGTGACTTTATGCATTGAATTTTTTTTAAAAAGGACAAAAAGTTTATATTTATACATAAAATTTACATTTGTAAATATGATCACAAACTATTGTATCAGTATTTAATTACAATAACAATGAAAAATATAATTCAATAACATGAAAATACATATAAAATACTGGCAGGAAAATATCCAGAATTCTTTATAATCATTAACATCACTGATGCTTTATCATTTGTCAAAATATAATCAATCCAAATTTTCATCAGAAAAAGGCACTCTAAACATGGTCCAATACTGAAAAGAAATATATAAGTTATTAAATGAATTAAAAATGAAATTAATGACATCTTTTATAGAAACCAAAATACTATTATATATAAAAATGATTAAATACACACAATTCACATTTTTTAATTACTTATCCAAATTTTATACTATCAAAAAATCTTCATCTACAGATTTTACTAATACAGTCAAAAGTCGTTAATTCGGACACCCATAATCCGGAATGATCTATAATCTGGACCTCAAAGCTAAAATCTTTCTGCGCATGCGCCGCGTTGACACATGCTCATAGGCGTTTTACGCGTGCGCGCAAGACATTTATGACTGTGCATATGCGTCTGCGCAAGCGCAGAATACGTTTTCGCGTGCGCGTTTAATGTATAATGGACGGTATAAGCTAAAATTATCTAATTATCTATTTCAGTTAATGTTGATGATTGCGTTGTTTCTTAATGTTTTAATTGGATCCGGCTTATTATTTTTTGCAGACTGTAAGAGCAGTTTTATAAAAGTAAGCTTGAACTTTCGATTATGTCAAATAGAATTTCCGATGCTGGACCTCCCAAAGGATCTAGAAAACGAAAGTATGTTTCGATGTCCATCAAACAAAAAAACGAATTGCTACAAAAAATGGATAAAGGTATATCCTTTGTTTATCTAACCGTTCCGAAATCTGTTTATCAATTTCACGCTGCTCTGCGCGGGGATGGGGGGGGGATGTCGCGGCGCGCAATGAACTGGAAGTTGATCTGTCGGCACTATCGTTATCTTCAGGGCAGATGTTTTTTTTTTATTCGGCTTATAATTCCTTACTAAATGTAGTATTTAATCTCAATGTACTCTGTCTTTGATATGATTTAAATCAAATTCCTCGTCATTATAAATATCACGAATACAAATCAAACAGTTTTCTTGTTGCAATTTTCTAATTTCGGCTATGCGTAAGGTACGCATGCGCGCGTTGAAAGAAATGTTTAATAAAGTAAACAAATAAATATTAAGCTTCTTTTTTTGTAAATTTTGATACCCTTTAGATCATAATTGCTCATTATTTTATAAATTACAGTTTCATATTTTCAACTTTATAATTTCTGCATGCCATCTTACAAGATTTAAACTGATGATCTATAATCTGGAAAATTCGATAATCCGGAATCGCCGAAGTCCCGACGAGTTTGGATTAAAGACTTTTGACTGTAGACAATTTTTAAGCATCTGTTTGAATAGCTAAATGAACAATAATTATGAATTTAATAAAAAAACTACTTTATCACATTATTCTTAGTTGTAATTTTATGCACAGATACTGCATTATATTTTACATTCGAAGATGAATTTTTATTTATCACGAAACAGTCTAGTGTTATTATTATGCTTGAAAAATAGAATTTAATCAAAATCAAACAATTTCCTTCATTAGATGTGAATTACAAAGAAGCTTGAATGTTTAGTGCTTATATTAGTATTTCTGCTTTAGTCAACAAAAGTGTTCACAGTTCCATTGCAGATGCTATGTCAAAATTCTCTCTTTCTGCTCAAATATTGCTCTTTCAACAACTTCTGTCACCAGCTAAGGCATATTCAATAATTAAATAACAAATAAATGCTACTTTAATCCAGAATTAATAAAGAAATATCAATCATTCTACACAACATGACTTAATAAATAGCTTTTAAAATTCAATTTTTAACAATGTTAAACACACAAATTCTATATACAAATTTAACTTCTTAAATAAAATCAGACGTGGAGACAGCTACCACTAGACCATGTTTCCACCTCAAATATCAAAAACTGAATTGCAGTTTGAATGCCTTATATCTACAGATTACTAGTAACATCTTTAAAAGCAATTTGTATATTATAGTTTATATATTTAATTGCTACTAAACAGGCACAGAATGAATTAAAAAGTGAAATTTTATCAAATTATTACATATCAATAAAAATTATGTAAAGTTAATGTATTCTAAGAAATTATTCTTGATGAGTTGGAAAAGTAATTAAGTAAATATAAATAAAAAAACAACACGAATTATAAATGTGATTTGGAAAAAGCTGTTTTATCTCTGTCAAGCTCTCAAAGCTGTTTTATCACTGTCAAGCTCTCACCTTTCTCAAGAGGATAATTTTCATAGGCTTCAGTAAACAAAAAATATGTTCATATGATTATAACTGAAAAAGGGGGATTTTGATATGATATATTTCAAAACAATTTTTCTTCCCTTTTCCCCCATAAGGACTCATCTTCTTTCATTCATATGCACTTTTTTAATGTCTTTTTTTTTTATCACACTTATTCCAGAAAACTGTTTATTCTGCAAAAACAGAAGAGCAAGTTACTACAAAAAAAAATTTTAACTAGCAATTTCTTTATAATTTTATATTATAAAAGTTACTTGCTTTTATTCACTGTAACATTCAGACAAAACCAATTAATATCTCACTGGAAAGCTTTCAACATTTCCACAAATTCTTAATCATTCATAGTCCAGATAATGTTCCATACAAAGCTTATTGTTTTTGTTCTGGTGATATTCTTATTTTTCTCGCCATTTCTTGATAATTATTCCAGAAATGGTTAACTGTGGTTGCCAATGTTTATTAATGAAGTTCCTCGCAAGTGTACCATCAAAGAAGTTCATATTTAGAGATATGTCATTAATTTCAGCAGAAATTCTATGGTTTAATATGATTTGGAAGCACTTTCTTATTTAAGAAAATTTCACATGTCAAAAAATCAAAAATTACATCCTAATCAGAAAATTTTCAGAAATCTTTATAAAATAATTATATACAATTTGGTACTCTTCAGTTATTGGCGCCAAATTCAGAAATGTATGTATGGATGAATGTATTCATATATGCATGTATATATGTACATACATATGTATGTGTGTTATGTATGCAATGTATATATGATGGTTATGTATATGGTTATGTATGTATGATGGTTATATATATGTAAATTCTCTCTTTCTGCTCAAATATTGCTCTTTAAACAACTTCTGTCACCAGCTAAGGCATATTCAATAATTAAATAACAAATAAATGCAACTTTAATCCAGAATTAATAAAGAAATATCAATCATTCTACACAACACGACTTAATAAATAGCTTTTAAAATTCAATTTTTAACATTTCAATGTTAAACACACAAATTCTATATACAAATTTAACTTCTTAAATAAAATCAGACATGGAGACAGCTACCACTAGACCATGTTTCCACCTCAAATATCAAAAACTGAATTGCAGTTTGAATGCCAGATTACTAGTAACATCTTTAAAAGCAATTTGTATATTATAGTTTATATATTTAATTGCTACTAAACAGGCAAAGAATGAATTAAAAAGTGAAATTTTATCAAATTATTAAATATCAATAAAAATTATGTAAAGTTAATGTATTCTAAGAAATTATTCTTGATGATAATTCTTGATGAGTGAATGTATGATGGTTATGTATATGTGTGTTATGTATGCAGTGTATGTATGATGGTTATGTATATGTGTGTTCATGTATGCATATATATATATATATATATATGTGCATACATATGTGTTTAACACACACATATATGTATATTTATGAGTACCCATAATTTATACATACACAGATATGATATTCAAATAATATATTAAAAAATGAATTGAAAACTTAACATATATCATTATGCTAAAATTTGCATATATCATTATACTAAAAATTTAATAAGGTACTTTGGTTTTGTAAGGTACAACCACTTGCCACATAATGTCCTTGTCTAAACTAGATATAACAAGCAGAATTTTTCTGTATTTTTTAATTTTTCAAATTTTGAATACTCAAAATATTTAGAAATATCTGCTATGAATCAAATAAGATGGCTAATATTCTATCAAGATATCAGTAATGAGCACATTTCAGTATCTTGGCAGGCACTAATTCAAATCCGATGCAGGAGTATTTTTAAATGACTTAAAAGACACAATAAATATATCACCATGTGTCCTATATTGTTTATTATGAAATACCAACTGTAAATATACAAGTGTATTTAGTGTATTTTCCCTTTACATTCTTAAATATGTTAATTTTTCTTTATTTTTACGTTTATTATAATTTATTATAAAATAAATATAATTTATTATAAAATGAAGTAATACTTCAAGAGATAGTATGGAAAACTCTGAATTTTTTTTAATTATTAGTTATTCTGAGATATTTCTTGATCTACCAGAGGGTATACCCAGAAAAAGCACTTTCTTAAGATTAGTTTTATTTAATTATAATAAAATAACATACTTCAATTTTCATAAATTAACATAACACATATCATCAGTACCATACCAAAACCACAAAAGTACAAAAATGTTGTTTTGAGAGAAAAAATGCATATAAAAGGAAGAACTTAGTTGTAATATCTCTCCCCCTCCCCCCATATAGTCTAAAGCACTGAAAAATAACCTAGAATAGGGAAAAAAACAGAAAAATACATATATATTTGTCATTTTTATTAAGATATCAACAATACAGTAAAAATTTAGTTTTTCATCAACTTTACTAATGATATTATATTTTGAAAAATTTTTGCAAATACATACATACTGCACTTTACTTCCTTCAGTCTACAGAAGATTTGCATACTCTATAATGAAGAATACAGAACTTAAATTAAGATCATCTATTATGCAGACAACATTTATAAACAATACCATTATTTACACAGTACAAACATGGAGAACTTCAGAAGTTTTATGTATTCATCAAAACTAATATTATTGAAAAATTTTGAAAACCAACATTTACAATAAAAATTAGACACATTTCATGTTACAGTACGTAACTTCATAAAAAGTCTTTATTTTACTTTTGCCTACCCATGCTGATGTTAGATTCAGTACTTGGCAAGAAATAGTACCATGGATTTTGGTTTCAAAAATAATTTCAGCATACAATAGATAAATTTTTAATGAATCATTAAGGCCTAATCAGAACTGCTCTGAAAAACCAAAAATTCAGCATTTATGATTTTCCCTGAAAACTTAGTATAAATAGGCACCAATTAAGATTTTCAATCAGACAGATGCTGGACTTATTGGCAAGTGCAGACACAACATATGTGCATACTTGATAATGGTCAGACAAAATTGTGATATAGGATTTTCATAGTTCAGTATGGTGATTTATAATTACACTGTGAGTAACAGATGTACAGTGAGTTAAAAAAAAGGGTGTTAGTTCTAGATCTTCCATTTTAGTTGGTCACAAAATTTACTGCATTTATCCCAAAAGCTTATATTATAATATTATTAGATTCATATATAGTTTGAACATATGAATTTTCACATAAAATTGAACATTTCTGAAATGACATACCATTTTTTTTTCATAGTTTGATTCTATGCCTTAACTTGTGCATAAATATCAAATTTACAACTGTTGAATAAAATTAAAAGTTAATTTGAACAGAATTTCAATTTAAAAGTTCCTGCATTTGTTTCTACATTTCTTTTCTGAGTGTAGAACAGTATGAACAGAAGACTATTAGGAAAATACGTATTACAGTTTGAACAAAATTAAAATAAGTACGTTGAAACAGATTTGCAATACATATGTAGCTACAAAATTTTATATTACCCTTGGATTTAATTTTGAATGTAAACATTAGTATACAAAATAATTACAATTTTAAAATAAAGATTTTTGCATAGGATATTAAATAATTACATAAAGCATTAAAACATATTTCATTTCTCATACTCATGGTATAAAAATACAAGTGCTTAAGTTTTTAGCACCTGCTTACAATTTCCTTTAAGAAGCCTTTCAGAAATTCATAGTTTTTACTTTCTTTCAATGTTACAAAACATTTTGTGGATGTATCTAAGCATTAAAATTACATTTAAAACAAACCTTTTGCTTAAATTTTTGTGCAAATTTTATTTTTTTAATGTTTAATAAATCACATAACAAATTTTAATCTGCAAATCATGCAAGAATTACAGGCTAATTTGTGAATGATCATATGTATAAGTTAACTTTTGATTATAAATTTTGTTTTCCAAAATGATTATTCATTGCTTGCAACATCAATAGTTAAAATCAGAAATACCTTAAACAGAAATTACAAAATATTAAATACTGAACTGGTTAATGTTGTAAGTTTTACGCCTAAGACATCAACTAAAAAACTGAATCAGTTTTACCCTAACCATGTAATTTATAATTACAGTAGTTAATTCTTCAATCACATACTTCATCACAAACTTCAATGCACATCTTTTCTATTACAGTCATTCAACAGATTTTTGAAACAGTAATAAGTTTTTATAACTTGTTTCAAACAAAATATGTAAGAAAGAAAAATTTTCACTGTCTATTTTTAGACTTCTAAACCGTCTACGTAAACAAAGTTTATGCATTATCTAAAAGCATATAAAATATGTTAATTCTAAATTTATTTATGATGATTCGTCATAATGTTTGTTAAGAAACCGACATATCATTTGCTTTGGTTATATTTTAATGGCACTATTAAATTTTGATTCTTTATCTTCATTGTTATATGATTTTCCCTCAAACATACTCCTGTAGTTTGAATTTATTATTCTATATTTCAATAAATAGTTTTTAACCATTCAGTAAATTACAGAACAAGTTTAATGGTGTAATATTCGCATTTTATGCTCTAGTTGATTGCTGACAACATTTATTCAAATAAAAAAGCATTTTATTTCAAAATAAATCATATTTTGGGTCAAAATATAAATGTTAGAGAAACAGTGCTATATATCCTAACTTGCACTTCTGAGACATGAACAACGCAAGCTGAATTTTGTCAATCGGCCAAGTAAACACGAAGTCAATGCCAATCGGCCAAGTAATTTCTTTTTTACTTGCTGTACTTAATGAATTTATGTCAAATAAACATATTCTGAATTTTCTGCATGCAGTTTTTCATGCCTTTTATATAATCTAGCATTCATAACAGTGTTAGTTGTCACTCCTCTCTCCTACATCTTCAATTAACATTTGATTTAATAATATAGTTAAAGGAAAACAATATTTTGAACTCAAACTAAGATTAAGTGAAAAAAAAGTTATTCCATCAAGTACAAGAAAGGAATCATGAAGTAATTTCACAGCAAGAATCTTACAGCTTTCTACAAACAGAAGTTGGATTTGCAAATGGTCTGGAAATGGTGATCAGAGTATAATAAATCCAGTCAATATGCAGGTGAAGAAAATGCTAAAAAGCACAATAGTGGATCAGGTCAGCAACCAGTATTTTTTTAGTTGGGAGATATCTGCAAATGGATTGGTAACAAAAGAGGACAGAACTTGGTTGTATAGAGGGCTAATATTCATGCAATTGCCCTTGTAATGACACCAAAGTTAGACATATCCCTAGAAGAATTTAAAGCATCATAACATTAGATGAATGGCTTCCTTCAGTAATGTAAACTGTTTCTACAGGAAATGAGGTTACAAGAAATTCAAGCCAAATTCAGGGTTTGGAGCTTTATTGTTATATTCATGATTATAGGAAGAAATATAGATTGCTTTAAGTACATAATCATAAAACTTTGTGCATGAAAAAATAAGACATCGCTAGAATATAAGCACTAATACATCTTGTAAAGCATAAATTAATGTAATACCTGGTCTTATTTTCAAACAAATAAGAATAGGAGTTCCAGAAAAATATGACCAGGAAAAAATATATAAGAGTTGTTCTACTAAATAATTTGGACGATACTGCTGTGAGACTTCAGTTTGAAAATCCAAAAATTAAATACTATTACATTATTTCATTAATAAAAGAAGTTCTTTCTCAAAGATATTTTAAAAGCATTTTTCACTTAATTCAAGAATAAATACCTTCAGCATGCATGCATCTTCTATGGCTTTTCCAATGTGATACATATGAAAAAAAGTTTCTAGATATAAAATTTGAAAATCCTTTGTCTAAAAAAGATTCTTTGTCTGTTGGAATTAAATTTTGTTTTTATAGCTATTTATTTGCCTTTTACAAATCATTTGCCCTTCCCTAAAGCCAAACATACTAAATTGATTTTCAGTACTCCACATTACCATTTCTCCAGAAGCCATAGCTTTCTTTTATGCATCTCAAAGCAAATTCCAAACAGCATTCCTTATTTATCACACTCACAGAGGGTTTCTTTCTAGGGACTAAATTATTTAATCAAAGTAGCGAAGGTAATTCCAATAGGCTTCTTTGGACAACTCTTTTCTACAAAATATTCTACCTCAGAATATAATTTTTTATGATAAATAAATTATTCATAAAAAAGAAAATTTGAAAAAAATTACAAAAAGTGAGCATTTAGTAATATAATTATCAGAAAATATCTTAAATATAATAAAAATTTAGGATATACTGAGCATACCTGTGTTAGACTTTGAGAAATAATGAACACGATTAAAATAACTGTCAGAATCTGTTTCTTCTATACTTTTCTCATTTAAGTTAGCAGAAAAAGAAGCAAGAGGATCCTATAATAAAAAGAAAGAAAAAAAAGGAAATGAAAAGAATGGTGAAAACACACTTCAGTATATTTGTTCAGGTATCCAAAATTTAGTCATATCCTGCTTATATGTTGAATGGTATTCTGATTTTTGCCCTAGGGTTCTTGATGGTGGTGTGCAATCTACCATTCCCATCAGCACCAAAATTTTGCTTTTAAAATTGATTACAATTTTCAATTTAATTTAAAAAACTCTTATGTTATCTTTTTTACATGATTTCAAAACTTTAAAGTTTTATTCGATATAGGGTAGGGCACAGTGCCCAGCTGTTTAACACCAATACAAAGAATGAGCACATTAGGCCATTCCTCTTAGACAGTCATGTAAAGAAGCAAGTACAATCATTCTTAGTGGTCAGTCCATCCCTTCTGCACCCATTAATTCAATATTTGTATTGCTGGGGCTTTATTTAGTCCAATACAATTTCTTGGAAGACTAATCCTTGGTCTCCATAAACCCCAATTTTCCTCTATCAAAATCTGAAATTTGTTGGAATAACTGTTGTTTTTTACTAAACTTCTCACGAAGACACACAATTCCAATATTTGAAACAACCTACTCTTCTCCCTTTTTATATAGTTTACTAGACAGTGTTACATGTATGCTGCAATGCTAATCATACACAATATAGTGCAAAACTCAAGCCTATCTGATGCTTCCTAAATGATGTTGCTTTTTGGATGGGCAGTAGTATATATGATGGATAAAATTACAATTTGTAATTATAAGCATATTTTAGATGAATCGTATTGCATATTTTAAAAGAAAGTAATAAAGGGAAAGGTCCAAACCATGGCCTTTATGCTTTATAATTTATCATATATAATTATTATCATAAACGTGAAATAAAATGCTCATGATACAAATTTAAAATTCACCATTTTTAGTCTGAACTGGAAATCATTTCAATTAATGTTTATTAATAATCACTGATATCATGAACTGAGAAAAGACTGGAAAAAAACCCATGGCAACACTTAACATTCTATCGGGAGTTCTAAAGATATGCTGCTTTTGAAAATTTTGTGATTGTTAAATCATTGATTTGCGATTCCAAAAGCAGATTTAGACTAAAAGCCTATGATCAATTCAGTATTTTCAGATGAAAGCACGACAATGGATATATACATAAGCATGTATAGTTATCATTTTCTATTTGTTCATGGGAGAACAAAATAATAAATGAGTAATGCTTATAAGTAGCATTTAGCTACAAAGTTTGTAAACATATTAGATTTTATTTACAAATAAATGATCAACCAATTCCATATTTTAAATAGCAACAAGCTATAAAAGAAGTATCACTTGACCTTTACTTAAAGCTCATTGTTGTTTAAAATATGAAATTGGTGGGAAGTCATGTGCTGGCTTAATCAGAATTTTATTTCTCAGTCAGTTTTTATGATTTTTTATGAAGAATACTTGTTTTTAGTACTGTAAAGAGAACAAAAACTTTAGTCTCTTGAAGGCTCGCTGTAGCAGGATTTGACTGTATTATATACATACACTTAAAAGTGGTAAAAATTCAAATTTCAAGAAAATATATCTTTCAAGAATGCAAAAACTGAAACATTATGTATATATGTAATCCTCTCTAATATTATCTCCTTATTTTACTTCAGCCAACCAACCACAGGCACCCTCCATAAAATGCAAATCATATATGTTGAGTAATTTCAGTTGCTGTCCATGAGGTGCCACATACATACAATGACTGACTACAGCCACTCACAATTTTGCTCACTCTATTCCTAATTTTGCAGTTGCACTTTGAATGTTCAAACTTTTCTTACGCAATTTGTTCCTCAGGGGTGAGATAAGCTACTAACAAAGAAATACCATTTTACTTGCATCTATTTCCTTATTTACTTTTAGCACATGGTTCAGAAAATCTTCCCTTATCCCAAGGCATTCAGAAAGCAAGCTTCCCTTTTTAGCTTAAAAGCTTTTAAAATGGATCTGTAAATGGATACATTTGCAAGAAAAAATTTTTGAAGACCTAGGAAAGCTTTCTCTTTAAGCTTTCAAAAGTGTTTGGGAGCCATATAAATACTGGCCACACTGGAACCTTGACTTTGTCAATTCAGTTATTTTTGTTATGAGCCTATTCAGTGATTGGAAGCTATATGGAGCTCCTGTTCAGTTATTATTGATTTACATTTCATGCTGAGAATAATTTTGGTGATCTTGAATATTCTTCTCCGAGCTACCACCAATTTCAGTAAAGTATTAAGTTTTCTCTGTTAAATGGCATAATTATTAAAACTCATAGCACAAAAACAATAAATATATAAATAAAATGTAAGTGATAAAATAAATTTTTATATTACAGATATTTAACAGATGATGTTAGAAACATGTATTAATCACATTAAGGCTGTGAATGTTTATAAAATTATTGGTTACATATATTATAAATTTAAAAACATAAAATATTAAATTGATCATATTAGGTTTCATATTAGTAATTGATCTGTTCATGATTTTGGGGGGCATGGTCTGTAGTTGATGAAGCAATAATATTGAAGATCTTCAAGAAAATGGGGATATTTAATGCTCATAACAGTTCTAAATATCATTGTATGTGGGAAGACAGAGTGAATGATGAAGATGATGGTGTGGAAAACTGTTAATTAGCAGCCAGATCCAAGAGATGGAGCTAATAACTTTCCCTCTCTCATTTAATAGGAGGCATAATCTGAGACTAAACCACGACAGTCCATCTCTTGGAGTCATAGGTGAAGCATTGAACTTCGGTGCACAGTATCAACTGATTTCCCTGCAAATTAGCATGTGTATTAATAACATGGATACCAGCCTGTGATTACACTTTGATATGTCGAGGGATTCACATCTGATATTTATTTTTGTAACTGATATATATGAGCTAAACTAATATATCTTCTAGTCCAATTAAAGCAGTGAATGTAAAAACAGGTATGTTATCTGGTGGAGCACTGCATGGGAATTGTACCTGATAGATAAATCAGAGTCATAGGTAGGGTTTTTAGTACCTGGGGCAAATAAAGATTTTGCACCCCCTCCTGTTTGCCAAGAATGGAAAACATAATTCTAAAATTTTGTAACATCAGTTTTATGCTCCATAAATGCTGCACTTAGGGACAGATGCCCCCCCCCAGCTACATCACTGACTGGAGTGCTAAGAGCGTACAGTGTTTGGATTTCTCATTGTAGCAAGTTCTGGGTTGCACATTTGAGGTGCTTGCTGTTATTACAAATAGCCAAGCTGTTATGGCTGTATTTCTACTGTTCCAGAAAACCCAGTACTGGATTTACTCTATAGTTGTGGACCACCATTCCTTTTGTTGTACATTACTTTATTGTTAAATTTACATAAATGTTATGTTTTTTGCTGCAGAGTCTCATTCCCTGGATTATTTTATTTCTATGTTTAAGCAAATAACATTACGATGCATGGAGCAAAGACATCAGACAGGATTATATATAAGTCTGAACACTGTTACTTTAGCAATTTTGTGGCAAATTATTACATTCCTGCAGAAATTTCACTGCAGTTTTTTCCACTGCTGGAAAATTCCACTTGTGCATGTTTAAAATTGAATTTAAGGTAAAAAAATATCATCGCTATTTGCATATAAAAACCAGTGAACTTTAAATAAAACAAACACACACACACAAAAAAAAAAAAAAAAAAGAGCTTACCAGAATGGCAAAGTTGCTTGATTAAATGATTATTATAAGTAAGGTTGCCTGAAGAATGGTTATGCATGTGTTGCCAGTGTTTAGCATATATTGAAAATTTGTCTACTTCTAATTAAGGTGGTTGTGATACTATACACCAAGTACCAAAATTTCAACCCAGGGTTAAAATACAAGCAACTAAGCAATATTTGAAATAGTCAAATAACCCCAAATGAAATCTTAGCACTATAATGCAAAATACAGGGAATGCAAAATACAAAACAATTTTAACTTATTTTAAATAACTTACATTAACTTATTTCTAAGAGGAAAAATTTGTTTTATTCTATGGAGTAGTTTTTTCATGACCAAATCATAGTTCTGTATATAATAACATAAACTTACTGATCCTGTTCGCTCTAGAAGAGTAGTTTGCAACTGTTTTAACATTGATCGTTGGTGTTCATAACTGAAAAATAAATATCATCAAGAGCATCAATTTAAAAATACATAATTTTATCATGAAAAATGGCAATACAATCATAACTGCATAATTTTAGGAGCACCAATTTAATAAACACATAATTTTATCATGAAAAATGAAAACAAAATCATAACTGCAATATTCATATTACATATTTTACACACAGTAATATATACATTCCATATGTTTCTCGTCTTTTTCAAAATTATCCCACATGCACCAGACAAAAATAATATGCTCTGTCATTATTTAATTTTAATAACATTATAAAATTGCAATCTGTTCTTGCATATCCTTCTCTACTATCAGATGAGTAAAATTTTGGCCTTTACTAAGTTTTGCTAGTTATATATCAGAATAGAGAACTAATTTCATAAAAATTAACTCATTTCAAGTTGAAAAGCAAGTAGCCACCAGAATCAGAAAATATTTATGCCACAAACAAATAGCAAACTTTGGAAGATATTTGTAGGGAAAAGGTCTCAAAGCACTATTTTTCACGTTTCTAAACACACTTTCATTTCACTGTTCTTCTAAAGAAGGGATAATCTCAAATACAGAAGTCCTATATAGTATCATGCAAACCAGAAATCACTGTTAAAGTTATGCTAAAAAGAGTCCATTAAATTGACCTCGGGCCTATACAGAGGTCAATCTGAATAAATATGGCACACATGCAGCATGTCAGTTAGCAAAGTAAGGAAACTATTACAAGAGAAAAAAAAAATATTTAAAATCTCATCACATAAATAAAAGAACTATTACAAGAACAATATTTAAAAATACCTCTAATATGATTATTTACATCCCACACATTTCAAGAAATTGATAATACAGTACAAAGTTTTTAATCCGGACGTCCATAATCCGGAATGATCTATAATCCGGACCTCAAAGCTAGAAACTTTCTGCGCATGCGTATGTGTTTACGCATGTGTATAATACGTTTACGCATGTGCATTTAATGTATAACGGACGGTATAAGTTAGGCTAAAATTATCTAATTATCTATTTCAGTTAATGTTGCAGACTGCATTGTTCCTTAATCTTCTAATTGGATCCAGCTTATTATTTTTTGCAGACTGTTAGAGCAATTTTATAAAAATTAAGCTTGGACTTTCGATTATGTCAAAAAGAGTTTCCGATTCTGGAGCTGCCAAAGGATCTACAGAGCGAAAGCATGTTTCGATGTCCGTCAAACAAAACGTGGAATTGCTGCAAAGAATGGATAAAGGTATGAAGAAAGTGACAGAGAGGTTAGGGAACACGAAAAAATTTCGATTGACAAGTTAGTCGGTATTCTCGGCACAGCAATTACAGGACTTGAACAGCGGAACTTTGTAACTGAACAAGAAATTATGTCTGTTTATAGAATTAAAGAGAAAGTATTAGCACAAAAAACGAAGCATCTTAACTTACATTGAAAGAAATGTTTAATAAAGTAAACAAATAAATATTAAACTTTTTTTTTTGTAAAATTTGATACCCTTTAGATTATAATTGCTCTTTATTTCATAAATTATGGTTTCATATTTTTAATTTTATAATTTCTGCATGCCATCTTACCAGATTTAAATTGATAATCTATAATCCGGAAAACCCCCTAATCCGGAATCGCCGAAGTCCCGACGAGTCCGGATTAAAGACTTTGTACTGTATTAAAAATCCATTAGTTATTCCAAAAATTCTATTGAAAACTTAGGATAAAATTATACTCTTGACAGACCAATGGCCTTAGGTTTCAAAATTTATAAAGATTATTACATTTATGACATAATAACTGAATGAGAATTATTAAACCTGCATTTCTTGCAAACAGCTGCAAATAAAACATGCAACTAAAATTTATATATTAAATTTGAATATCAGACAAAAACACTAATATTGTAACTATTTCAAATGAATATTAAAATATTTTAATTTAAGACATCCTAAGCTTCTAAGAATCCGTACCTACAAATAATGTAGAATCTCAAACTATGATTTCTACAACAATTATCTTCCTGCATGTATGATTTACCATAGACATCATCTTCTCAGGCTGTAGGTCTTTTCTTCAGGTTCAGGTCTTTTCTTCAGCCCTGAACTTGTGACTCAAAATGTATTTAAAAGAGCCAACATCTTTTGAATACTCTTGTCTACACAATAACAAACTGAGACCACAGGAAATGTGGAGAAAGAAGATGAAAATAAAAATTAATAAGAAATGGTGCCAAGCTTTACTAACCATTTTGAAGCTTGATATAAAGTTAAAATATTTTTCTATACCTAAAATTAAAACCAAGTGGATGAGGAAAATATTTCAAATCTTGCCAAGTCACATTTTAAATAAAAGAACAATTATGCCATAAAATTTTAATATGGTGTATTCTTAATGAAAGTAATAAATGTTAAATATTTAGACAGGTTGTGATTTCAATACAACTAAATTTACCAATGATATGCCCTCTAAAACTACAAAATGCTTTCAGTATCTATGAATTTTGCATGCCAAGTAAGTGCTACCTTATCAATTAATCTAATATGGTACAAAGCCTAAAATCCTGATGTCTAATATCCAAAATTATGTAATATCTAAACTTCTGGACAATCAGCATCCCCCCCCACCACCAAAAAAAAGGGGGAGAAAGAATTAGATTCCGAAAGTAGTGTTGTTCTTTATGTATCTGCAGTAGACATTATTTTCATAATAAAGTATGCAAAAGGTCCTTATTCTTAATTTCAGTTTGGCACTAAATAAAATGCCTCCATATTAAAAAACACAATCATTAACTACCTTAAATCAATACTATCAATAATTTATTGGCTCCAAAGCCATCATTTTGCTTTGTGTGAATCTCAAATCAAAATATTTACCTTCAAGTTATATAATATACTTATTTTACACCTACTGAATAACATACAACTGATGACAACCTAGCCTTCATTTTGTGATTTTTTTTATTTCATCAACATGTGACCATCAATTCATGGCAGCTTGAGAAATGACTCCAGCAGCAATGTCTAAAACACCTTTTTTTTTAATTGATAAGGAGCTTATGAGGAGAAATTTATTTTCATATTCAAAGTATAGATTTAGTAAATGATATATTCATAGGCCAAAAGATTACATTAAGTGTCATTTGAATTAAGAATTACTAATTTATTATTTAGATAAGCCTTAAGTATATATGGAGTTTATTTATTTGGGACTCGTACAAGCCTTAAGCTTATGTGGGGAATAGACATAATCATAATAAATAACTAAGCTAATTTAATTCAGGCTTAACTTCCTCAGTGCAGAATTCTTGTAAGACAAAATTTAGTGGAAAAACATGTCTTAGTTTCCAATCTCATGATACATCGTGAATAGACATAGTGGATGGGTAGCTAAGCATTAAGATATGCTAAAATGAGACACTACTCAAAATCAGTGGCTATCTATTCTAAATATAAAAATATTACTACCAATAATGAAGAAAGTGACAAAGAGGTTGCTACAAAAGGCAAAAATCTATAGCAATCTACTCTAAATGAAAAAGTATTACTATCAATAATGAAGAAAGTTACACAGAGGTTGTCGAGAAAGAAAAACTTTGAAAGCATTGAAAATTTTGTGGGAATTCTCAACTCAGCAACTACAGAATTTGAACAATGAAACATTGTAACTGAAAAAGAAATGTCTAAATAAATTAAGAGATTTATTTTTGTAAATTTTAATACCGTTTAAAATCATAAATGCTTCACTGTTTCATAAAAAAATATTACTTACTTAAATTTTATAATTTCTTCATATCGTCTTACTAGATTTAAACTGATGATTTAAAATCTAGAATAGTCAAAGTCCTGAAGAAAACGGACCTCACACTCTCCTGAAGAAAACGGACTGATAAAATACATTTGTGTACTGCATTATACAAATGTATTTTATCAATGTTCATAGCAAACATGTACTATTTCCTTCACTATTCTAAAAATATTTTACTATGTAATATTACACTACAATAAATGAGAAACAGAAAATAAAAAAAAAAAAAACATTTCAAAACTACGAAAAGTGACTTACTAACCTGCACTCTTTTAAAGCATTAATCCAATCTTCCTTTTGTCTTGGCGAATGAGAACCAAAATAGTGTCTTCTCTCTAACTCATTTGCAAATGCTTAAAAGTAAAATTAATTTAAAATGAAATGATTTATAGTAGTTTGTTAATATTATTCTTCTACATAGTATATAATCTTTCAATCAAGATATGTCAAACAAAGTATTAAAATATATTAAAAAGCAACAGATACATATTTACAACAGCATTTTTTAAATATTTAGACAGCTATAAAGACAGATGGATATAATAACATAAAGCTGTCATTCATTGAAGTTGACCTTTATTTTTTAATACAAACAAAACAGTAAATAACAACAATAAATTCATGGTTGAAAAATTATGCTGGTGTTGGTGTATTTAATTATGGTAAAGCACACTAGGGCTATCTGCCTAAGGGGAGGGATGCCTTCGTGGAGGATTTTCTAAGGGAAACTGGCTTGTTACATTCACATGGGAAAACCACGAAAACACCTATGCAGCTAGCCCGTTCATGGGATTCGAACCTCGGACCGAACAACCAGTGTTCAGCGACTTTACCGCTCGGCCGCTGGTGGGCTTGAAAAATTATGCATTTTTTGCAAAGCACACAGGAATACAATATATAGAAACATAAAGACTCTTTACTGAAGGGCAACTGCATCAAAAGCCAAAAGAACTAAGTACTATTCATTCAAAATAAAAACATAGAACAAAAGATTTCAGTTTAGTTTTCTTTTATAAATAGTTTCTTGTATAAATAGTTCTGTTCTTTGTCCCACAAAAAGTTTAACATCACCTTGATGTTTTGATTTCTAAAGAGAGATTTGTTATACGTGATTGAATAAAAGATTAAAACTTTTGCAAGGAAATGTATGACTGAATATTCAAAAGCATCGTTAAAAAGCCATCTCTTCTATGTTAGCAGCTTTTCAAATCCAAAACCGGTGCAAATCCAAAATCGGTTATAACTAAAATGATCATGCTTCAGACAATTAAAATATTAAAATACATTATGGAAAAAAGGAAAAATCCAAAAGAATAAAAAGGACTAAGGAGTTCTGACCATTAAAATTATAATTATATTACATATATACATAGTGGTGTCATGCATAACCAAAAGAAATTCTGTATGAAAATTGCTCATTTCACAGGAAGCTAATTACTGGATGTTATTATCAAAATAACTTTAACCTGTTCTTGGAACTACTGAAAAAATTTGGAATGCTGTAAAATAGTTTACAGAATGTCAAAAATGCCAAAATTCTACCAGTATTGGAAATTGTAAGAAATTACTACTTTATTAGTGATACAAATATTTATAAACATCACATATGCATATTGTCTCAGAGTTTCAGTTAAATTTAGTTTGTCTTTTATTACAATGGAGATGGAAAACTCAATTATCCTTGACATTCTTGGATATGGCCTACCAGCGACCAAGCGGTAAAGTCACTGAACACTGGTAGTTCGACCAAGGTTCAATTCCCGGTGAACGAGCTCACTGCATGAGCATTTTCATGATTTTCCTCATGTGTAATGTATATATGAGCCAGTTTCCCTTAGAAAGTTCTCCACGAAGCATCCCCCCCTTAGGCAGATTACCCTCAAGTGTTTCCCCATAATTAAATAAACCAAACAAAATCAAACTTTCATGGATACTGCCTCTTTTTTGGAGGAGGTAGGGGGCAACAAGATTTAAAAGTGGTTCAAAGTTGACAAGTTGGTGCTAAAATAGTAGCTGGCATAGTGGCTGAATAGATCTACCACTTTGTTACCTCAGCTTGATGCTGCTAATTGGCTGTAAGTTCTGCAGAAGATAACTGCCACAAGTACGAACCCTTTGTGCTCCCTCCCTCTTCTTACAAAAATTCTTATTGGACATCCTCAAGTTCACTGGTCTTCATTAATATTAAATATATGCTTACTTGCCCACTCGATTGCTCATTAACTTGGTTTATGCCCAGATTATGCATTTTCGATATTTTCAATAGAATATAATAAAACATTAGCTCCATGTTTAATAGGTTAATAATATACAAAGATATTAATAATGGTTTGTAATGTGGAATCAAATTTGTTATGTGCATTTTTGGCCTGTGTAAAAGTTCATCAAGCACGACAGTTACTGAATCACTAGTGATTAAATAAAAGATATCTGCATTGTGCATTATATAAGGTTGTATGATGAGGATTAACTTTAAAATGTCACAATTTAAACTGATATGTTATGAATAATTACTACTTTTAGGACAGAAAGGAGAATTATCCAAATTAAAGCGAGGAAGTAAAAGGGACTGCTGCCCAATTAAAGTTAGTAGTTTGCATTTATATTTTATAGCTTACATATATATTTTAATTTATAAGCTACTAAATATATTAATGAAAGCAATAAGTATCTATCATTAAATAATGGAAAATTCTGTATGTGCGTATATGCGTATATACATAAGCTCCTCACTGTGGGATACTCATTATGCGTATATACATAAGCTGTGGAGAAACTGTGGCATACAGAGCCGCCACTAAATTTTTAACATACATAGTCATCCACTCGAATATGTGCACTTTGAAGCTTGAACCTTGGATTTGCTTTTATTTCACATTTTGTGTGAATTTAGGGACTTTTCTAATTAAAAAACTCAGTGATATAAAAGCATTGTACTGCCACTTGGCATTAAGTTATTTACATTTACAATGTTATCAGAAAATTCAGCGATATAAAGAAAAAATATGTTGTTACTCAGCAAAAGGACATATAATTTGCCTTTTGAATTTAACAAAAAACTCAGCAATTTAAAAGAAATGTGTTGCCATTGCTTGGATTAAAATATTTGGTACTGATGTAGTGTGTGATCTACCACTTTTGGTGAGCCATTTCTTAGATGGTGCCACAAAAATATAATTTTCAAATATGAAAATAGATGCCCATAATTAGAAAATAAAGCATTTGCTATGTGATACACCACTGTATAAATACATGAAACAAAATATATATAATTCTATTTCATTCTGCCAATAAATATTCTAAAATTACAGTACAACTGTCTAAGCAAATAAAAGTAAATTAAATTACTCAAATAAAAAAAATATTAATTAAATTAAATGCATTAATTAAAATAAAACACACACACATTAAAGTAAAATAAAACAATTACACATTATTTAAAATTTTTTAAAAATTGAAGCATTCAAAAGAAGTTAGGCACATTTTCTTAATTGCTTGCTCTGACCTACAAACTACTGTTTTTAAGAAAGGCTTTTAGATACACAACAAATCGAATGTAATTTTTTCACAGAACAATCTATGGCTCGATGTTAGGTTACTAACTATAAATATGATACAGAAATACTGAAAATATGATGAATGTAATTTAAATCAAAATAACAGCAAGCAGCAAATGAAAATAAGATCAGAACTATAGTTATTCTTGTATTAAGCAAAATGTTTAATGAAACATGCCTGTAGTATTTCTACAAATTTACAAAACTCTTAAAATGAAGGGTCCTGATTATCTGCCACTCTCTGAAAAGCATTTAAGAGTCAACAAACCATGTCACCAAACTGTCATATTGCCAAAATGTATTTATGAGGCAACCCAGGTAGGTGTGCCTTGGATTTCCATCTTCAAATTTAATGGTCATTTTTCTGATTAGTGTTTGCTTTTACTCTGAGTATTTTCTTGTAAGGAATTGTAATGAGGCTGTGGAGTTTGTCAGCTGATATAAAAAAAACGCTGCTTTTTTTTTCTTCAGAATTATGGCATTTTACCCAGTAATACAGAATGCAAAAATTCGCATTTCATGAAGTAGTACTTCTTAAAAACCAAATTTTATGTATTAAAAAAAATCTGCCAATTTTGAGCAGCTGTTTGGTGTTTTTTGGTGTTTTGGCCTTCTTGCTTTTTAAGTTTTGTCAGTTTATTTCTCTTTTATCAAGTTCTTAATACATTACCATTTAGAAAGTGGCTGCAGCAATTAGTCACTAATAAGTTAGCAAATTCTGGGGAGGATGGCGCAGATAATCAGAAAGCATCAAATGAAATTTCACTAAAATCCCTTGCCTGAAAATTAAGCTCATAATTTGTATAATAAATATTAGCCACAGTTTATATTACTACAAAATACATACTTATAGAAAAAGCATTAGGCAATTCAGCATATAACTCTGGTTGGATTCTGCATTGCTCAACAACTAGCACTCCTATGGGCTGTTAAAAAGCAAGCATAATATTTCATACTACAGCAAAAATTTAATAATTATAATATAAAAACATTATTTTTTCTATATACTAGCTTTAATATATCTTTCTTGGTATGTAATATGCAAAAACTTTGCATACTATATAATAACAAAAACAAACATGAATTAGATTGCATTTAACAATATTTTTAAACCTTATATTCTTCTTGTATATGAGTAAATAAAGATTTAGAAGAAAATACATAACCATTCTACAGCTTTCCAATCTCACACTGCATAATTTTAAGCTATGAGTTTATAGATAAAACTCTTCTCAAGACTCCAGACTCGTGATAATAGTAATTTGTTGGAAGAACTATTATAATTTAGTACTATAAACAAAATTCATAATTTCCATATACTACAATTCCTTTCCATTATTGTTATAGTAAATGCACAGCATAAGTATGTAGAAACTACACCCTGTGCCATCACTGAGATTCAACTAAGGATTTCTCAATTAACAGCAGGATGTGCTGGCAGTTACACTAAAAAACAATGCATGAGGGATTTGATAGTTCTTACATTCTCCCCCACCTAAAGAGCAACCAAGGAAAGGCATAAGGCCCAGTCATTCAAATACAAGTTTTAACAAGTTACTGCCCACTTCATTTTTTAGTTTGGACATCACTAAAGAGACTACTAGGTTTCCAGAATCAAGAAACATAAAAAATTAACAGTACCTTTGCTATGATTCAAACCATACATTTTCCAATTGCCACCTATATGTGATAATCACTTAAACAAGAGATGCTTATCAGAGTGTTACAGTTCCTTACAGAATAGATCCTAATAGTACTTATTATATTAATATATTGCTGATTTTCAAAATGGCGAAATTGGAAAGTACAATCAGTTAAGTAACAGTATTAACTATGGAGAATTATGATATTCATGAAATACTTAAAATGTGTGCAACTATATTCAAATGACTTTTAATATAATTACAAAGTTCATGATGAAAGTAAAATATACATATACTATATATACAACAATATGCACATCTAAAATAATTTACACGATAGTCAATAGTTTTTATCTACTTAAACATATTGTCCTAACTCAATTATAGTAAGTTATTTTGTTATTTACAGTGTCTAGATTGCTTTAGACATTACGTGTGAACTGAAAGAGCACAAATAATATATATATTATTAAAACCCTTAACTGAGAATTAAGCTAATAATTTGCATAATAGTAATTATATTTTATCTTTTTTAAATACTTACTTATAGTAAAAAATAGTTATATTTACTGTTTCTTAAATGACTGAACAAAACATCCAAAATGAAAAATGATTAATACACATTGCATTAAAAAAGGGATCATATAAGACTAGATAGCTGGCATAAAATTAACCCTCTAGCTGGGCAGGTCATATATATATATATAGTATATATGTATATAAGTACAAGAATATTTTTCTTACCTTTTTATGTATACACACATACATATACTACACACATTCTGAAAGGTGTCTAAGTAATTAAGGCAGTATATTAAAATATAAAGAATCCAAAAGGAAAATATCTCTTTTTCATGCCACTTTTGGAAAATTTGGGATTTCAAAGTCTAGCCATTGATCTACTAAAGAGTTAAAAAAGATATATAGCACAGAATGGAAGTTTTTTGTTTAGTATGCATACAAGTCACATGAACTACATCAAATAAAAGTCTAAATATTAATGAGAAATGCCTCTTTAATGTCCATTATACAATTTTTATGGCCTCAAAAGCATTTAATAAATTAGGAATGACACTTAGTGTCCAGATCAATAAAATATGAGAACAGTAATTTACTTTTTGGAATGAGTGAAATATCCCACATTCCAAAAAGCAAAATGCATCGCGGTGGGGGGGGGAGAAATTATGATTAGATGAAAAATGTAGTTGTGCAAGTAATGTATAAAGACAACTATCACTAGAAAAGAAGCATAAACTAGTGATGCTTGGCATCCAGGAAAAACGGCCCTACCTCCCAAAAATGGCACGGCTTTAATGGAAAATGACCTCATTTTGTACTCTAAAAAGACATATGGCAGAACTGCATCTTTAAATTATTTTTTTTATGAATACATTAACAAAGATATACTTTTTGAAATGCTAAGAATTATACACAATGAAAATTTATAGATTTCCTAATAGGTATGAAAAGCTGTAGTTTAGACCCAACAAATTTTACTTTTTTTATTCCCTTTTCAAAATATATCGCATAGACTGTTATATACTAAGACCATATTCTATTCACTTATGTCATTTTTAATTTATCTTAATAGCAGCAGCTTAGCAGTACTAGCTTTTTAAAGACAAAATACAGAATTAATTATGAGCATAGAATCCCAATGGTAAGTATAATTTACTGTTAAAAATTTATTTTTGTGTATTAACAGTAGCTATGCTTTTATGCCCCCTCTGCTTGTATGGTTAAGCAGTAATTATCTATTTTGTAAAGATGATTTCACTTTAGCATAATTTTGAATTCTTGAAAGAGTATTGTTTTTTGTTTGAAACTAATTATTATCACAATAGAACCACCAATATTTAAGCATGAGCTCTCATATATCCTAACACAGGTTTTCTTAAACTTTTTTCAGTCGCGACCCCTTTTTATCGCTGAGTTTTTTTGTGACTCCCAGGACCCCATAATATTTTTAAAAATTTTGTGGGACTGCATAAGTATTGCGCAAATCCGACACACACGTGAGTGAAACTGTCGATTTTTTTGCTTCTACTGTAATATACTATTGCAATTTTAGTTCATTAACTTAAATTTCTAATTTTAAGACATAGAACAATGTGAAAATTTTAAATAAGTAACAGATGAAATGATAGAGTCATGTGCAAAGCAAGTAAAATGAAAGTTATATTATTTAAAGAAATGCGTTCAAAAGTTTTCATTTTTTCCTTTGTCTGTATTGTCTTATTTTAATCTATTTTTCAGATACATTGTCAAAAAATATTTGGTAATTGTAAAACTTAAAATTATTAATTAAGTTAAAGAAATATCAAAACTGGAAAATTTTTGGAGTAAAAACAGTGATTCAGTGTGCTCATACAGAAATATAAATTAACTACATTATTATATATATTTATATGGAAGTTTTACACTATATGAAAAATTATTAATTTTAATGTACAAAATAAATTAAATTTGTTTATTAACTAAATACTTAATCAAAATTTATTTTTATTTAAATTATGAATTACTTTTTTTAATACTGGAACTATTATGGTAACATTTTTATGGAATTATTAATTTAAAGAAGAAATATTTTTATCTAAATTAAAATTACTTTTAAATGAAATATTAGATGTTGCAATGCATACAATATTAAAAATTCCAACTTCTATTAGATCTACTGTAATAAAGTTAAGGCTTCCAAAAGAAAATCCAAATTAATAACAAAATTTGCAGAAAATCAGTAGAACTAGGATCATAATAGACTCACTCAAATGTAACACAATTTGAAGAAATAAAGGGGGTAATGCACAGTATCAAAAATTTTATTTGAGCCAAACTATGAATTTAAATTAAGCTTGCAGAGCAGGAGTCAGAAATGAAGCAATTTAAAAAGTCTCCACCATTCAAATAGCTAAATTTAAAATTCTTTATATCTGCACAACAACCACTCATAATTGCAATGAATAGTTTTAGTAAAAATCTTATTTTATCTTCACCATTTTGACTGTATGAACTGTACAATTTTTGAAAAAATTTTAGCAATATCTAGACGACACTACATGATTAGATGAACCAATTTTTGACTGCTAGAAATATATTATTTCACATACAGCGAACTATTTTCTGCCCCCAGTATCCTGGGATACTCTTTCCAAACACAGCATGGTATGCTTTACATCCATAACCTCTATTTTTGTATATAGACATTCATGAATTTACATTTTGCGCTGTAAGCAGAGTACATATTCTTCCTTTAAATTTAAAGATAATGAAAAAATACAAACAACATTATTTTTACAATGGTCGGTACTAAGAAGATAATTTCAGTTCTACTCATTTTTGTGCATAAACAAATTATTTTAGTTGTACAACAACCATTTGCAATTTTCTTACTTAGTTAATGACATTTTTTCACATACATTTATTCATAAATGTTTTTAAATTGTTGGAACATTCCAACCTTTACAATCCACATGAATTAATTCTGTTTTGATATATATATATATTATTATTACTATTATTAGTATAATATTTATTTTTATTATCGCTTTATATTTAATTTTATATTACTATATCCACTCATGTTACTCACTGCAGTCGCATTTCTAAAATATCCCATCCTAGTGGAAAAGATTGCCGACCTTTGTTCTCGAGTAATACAATCCAGTGATTAAAATATTGATTATATGGATTTATACTTTAGTTTAGTTGATGAAGGAAATTAATGAGAGAACATTGACCAAGATATTTTGACACCACAAGAGAATACAAAGAGGTTGAAAGATGCTGAGTGAATTCAGAGCAAAAAAAAAAAAAAAAAAATTGGAACTGCTAAATATTATGTTAGCATTGTTGTAGATAAGGAGGTACAAGTGTTTAAATTCAAAATTATGCTTTATAAATACATTGGAAGAATTTATTTATGATTCTTAAAAATATTCATTATTAACAAGGAAAGTATCTTGCTAAAACTGTTAAAGCCAATCCAATGTACAAGTACACTCACATAAGGCCATACCTGTCATTTCAGGTAGACTTTGCAACTATAATATCAAGTAAAAATATTCTTATATTTAGCAAACAGATGTCATGTTTCTCTTTGTCATGCCCCCATTTCTAGGTATGATTTAAGGTATAAGGGTATTTATTTCAAGAAAACTGAAATATTTGGTCGTCTCACTTTTATTTTTAATACTTCCCAATCTAAGTTCAAGCTGAAGTCAGAAACTACATTTCCTCATGACCAGCAGTACTTTTGAACTGTAACTCAAATAAGGCTAAGCCTTTGATTTAATTTCTCTATAAGTTATTTATGTTTTAATTAGCATGGAAATGTTCCTAGTGAATTTACCTTTCTGTGGGAAAAAATGCATAAAATAACACTTGTATTTTTCTGCTCCTACTGCATAATTAATAATTAACAAATACAAAGGCATCTTAAAAATAACAATTATTCTAGCTACAATATTAGCTGCTTCTAACTACTGCATTCATATGGAATGCTAGAGAATGTATGTTTAAAAAAAAAAAAATTTAAAAGATCATACTTCATTTTCAAAGACAGCTCCATGTTCATTTAATCGAAAGTAGAACAACAGATTTCCTTTCAGTTTGAACCACCTTTCTTTAAAAACTGGAAAAAAAATTGTAAAATATATAAGGAAATAGAACTTAATATTGCTGCAATCTCAGATTAATAAACAGTATCCTGAATGAAAAAATTTAATAAGAACAAAAATTGACCATAATTAAACAAGAATAGTTATAATCTATGTTGTTCAATCTAAATGATAAAATAAATATCAAAATTTCTGATAGTAAAAGTATTTTTAATCAGTATAAACAATTCAATGCACGCTAAATAAATAGCATAAAAATTGTGCATAGACATGATAATGACAATTATGGAAATTTCCTTATTTATATTGATCAACTAGATTCTGAAGACATTCCCCAACTCTTCTCTGGTTTATAAGATATCATAGTATCAATGAAAGTAAAGAAGCAGAAAGAAAATAAAATTATACTTGGAATTGTTTATATTTTTTGCAACTGTCATTCATTAATCTCTTTGATTGTATACCATCTGGCTTCTAATTATTCAGATTTCTTCAAAGTGCTGCAAAGATAAACTACAGGATAATTTGAAACATGTGTTTTATAAGCATAATATCTGCTGCCTGAATGGGGATGTTATTATAATACTATTTCTGTTGTTCACGTTTTACAATTTGCCTCACTCTTCAATAAATGTGAAAAATGGCAGGCCTTTTGGTATCATCATTAAGAATTCATGGATGTTTCTAGCAACAAAGCTTGTGTAATTTTTCAGTTTTCTTTCAAAAACATGGCTAAAACTCAAAATATTTGACAGCCTAAGTCTTAAATAAATACATTGCTTACTACGAAAAAGATTCAAGTTGATCCCTCAATAAGTATCTGCATGACTGGGAACAAAATTTCAGACTACATTTCAGATTTAAACATTACTAGCTGCAAGAGTACAGCATTTGCACACTCATAGCTAGTAATATTTATAATGGGGGGGGGGAAGAGAAGTTTTACATGGATTGCTGGTTGTAATTTGTGTTGGTTATACATAATATTTTTAAGGGGTTGAAGAAACAGCAAACTGAATAAAAATAACTTCTTGTCATATCCTTACAGCAAAACAATATTAATATATATTAAATAATAGTTTTTTAATATCTTTCAAATGGCAATTATTCATATAATATTTATATATTTTCTTTCACCATAAATTACATTTCAGAATTCCTTCTTCTTAAAAGCTACAAAGGACAGCAACTACATGGAAGCAGCAAAAGTTAAAAGTAGCAGAAACAATATTTTCTTGGACTTCTCTACAGTTTTCATGATTTCATGATTGTGGTGATAATGAGCTCTAACTTTGTATTCTTTCAATCACACGAACTCATTCAATCCCAGGATCTACTTTTATCACATAACTTCGTTCAATTACATAAAGTTGTTACTTTGACAAGCTGAAATAATAAAGAATTTTAAAAAGTGACCTTGAAACTTTGTGCAATATTAAAATATATTGTGCAATATCAAAATTTTTTAGTGACGTAGAAAACCTACATAGAGGACCACTGAACGCTCCAACTTGACCTTATTTATAGTCTTGAGATTTTTTTTCATGTATATTATGTCCTTTAAAATAATTTACTCTCTTACATTATTTAATCACCTATAAATAATTCTTATGATATTATTATTGAGAAAATAATATCCCTATAAAAAGATATAAATAAAACACTATGCTATGATTCAGAAGTCAAACAACAAAAATCAGTGTTAATTCACAAAATTTAATTTGTTGTTTTCACAAATTAATTTGTTGTTTGACTTCTGAATCAGTATTTATTCGGCGTGTTATTGTGTCTTAACACTATGCTATGTAAATAAAATACTTCATATTCATTCTAAATCAAAATTAATAAAAATTATGCAATTACAGAACTTCATTTTTAAAGCTGAAGTAACTAAGATGAAACTGAATTTTTTAATTCTATGTTTCACTGTTATACTGATCATTAAATAACTAATTTAACTGCATTAATTCCATCTTATATTTGTAATTTAAGTAATTATGTTTTATGATAAATAAGAATTCTTTAGGTTCTTCTCTTTTTTTCTATTTTATTTCAGAAAAAAAAAAAAAAAAAAAAAAGATTAAACATATATGAGCTATATTTTATTTTTAAAAAAAAATAGATAGTACTTGGACTTGCAAAATTGCATTTCAAACTTTGCAAAGACACATTACCTAAACTGTCTCCATTTAATTTGTTCAACATGAGAATTTCAGTGATTTACAGGAAGCTGCAAAGTGTCAGTTGCCCTGCAATAATTCTGTTTAATGACTGGTTTGAAAATTCATTCATTAAAGAAATCAAATATTATTGAGAACCGCCAAACCAGAGCTTTTGAGGTTCTCCTAATTCTCAAAAAAGCTCCAGGATGCAGTACTAAATCTCTCAAAAAATTTGGTACAGAATCTCTCATAACATTGCATCTAAATGTAGAGTTTTCATTCCTTCCACCAAATACCCCTTGCTGAATCCAACCAATAGATCAAAGAATCATAAAACATTCAAAGCCAATTATGTTAGGCATATTTACATCTCTGCAAATAAAGCATTAGATGAAGGAAAACATGACATACTAAAGGCATTTTGGGAGCAATTTAGCATTAAACACTGCATAGAAATGACTAAATTTGCATAGGAACAAGTGAATTCATCAGTAATTAATGCTTGCTAGCATCAACATTGGACAGAAATTTTCATGAATTGAAAAGGAAGCTAAGGAAATCATACAAATTGCAAAACTGTTATATAAAATATGTGATAAAAGGATTTTCAGATATGGAAGAAAGAGAAATTCAATTAGTCAGAAATGGCTATTAATAACAAATGAAGAACTAGATGATCTTGTAGCACCATCTGACAATGAAGAAGATAAACAGCCTTTAATGTACATGGAGTTAAATGAATTGTTAAGAAGAGGCTGTCTAGTTTTGTAATAGAGATTGATCCAAATGAATAAAGAAAATAAAACTTTATGAGAGATATTGAAAACCTGTGCACATCTTACAGTGAAATGTTTAATGAAATGCAGCAGATACTGTCCCAAGCAAAAATCACCAGCTATTTAAAAAATAATCATATCATCACTTTCTTATTAAGCAGTAATAGAAATCCTTTCAATTAACATTTGTTTCATTTTGCTCTTTTAATTATAATAAATAATTTAATAATTTGTATAAATACTTTCATAATCTGAACTACACCTAAACCCCCTTTTTTTTTTTAATAGAAAGTTAGCTTTGTGGAACATGATTTTTGCTGTACAGGCAATGTGTTGATGATGTAATTAATCCCTGCATTTGGCAAGGATTTACTGTATTAGCACAACCACTTTAGCACATTTTGACGAATTTTGCAGAAGAAAAGAATGATTTAGCATTGTAAAATTTATTTACTACTATTTATATTAATATTTAACCAGCTATTTAACCCCCATTGCTTCAAGAAGAGATTTAAGCAATCATTCCTTTAGTAATTTTGCAGCAAAATACTATATTCCAGCAGAAATTTTAGCACAATTTTTACCCATTAAAATTGTGTCCAAGACAAAAAGTAATCATGATTTGTCTATAAAAACTGCTAGAACTTGGAATGCAATATAAAAGAAAGCTTATGAAAATGGCGAGGTCAACTGTTAAAAATGGAAGAACAGCCATGCAAACAGTTAGTTGTTTAAAAAATTATTTCGTTCATGGCTATCACAGCTCGGTGCATTTTGAAACTTTGGAAATTCCCACTAAGATAGTTGCAAAAATATATAAATACCAAATAAATTCTATTGATTTCAACTATTTTGTTAGGCTCTCCTGTTTTAATGAAAACTCTGCTTAGAACACTCTGAACACAAACTTTCCATTTGCTTAGAACACTCTGAACACAAACTTTTCGTAAGCAAATCTTCCAATCTATTATCATTTTGTCAGTTACATTTAGCTGACCATATCCTGTCCATCAATATTCACTTTTCTTCAGTAGGATCTCATAATTTTGAAAATAAGGTACTATTCTTATATGTGCCCTCAGGTTGCCAAATAAATGCGGCGATATGTGTTGTGCACTGGTTTTTTAGCACGATTGCATGTTCTGCAATGGTTTGGGGAGCAATGTTGGTTTCTATGGCAACCCTTTTTAAGTGGAACTGTAGTGGTTTTAGTTGCTGGTTGGTTTGTGTGGTGTGTGGTATTTAAGTGATTTATGATGCAATGGCAAAATTTTAGTCGCATGCCTGGTACAACTATTTTTTCGGGTGGCTGGAAATTCTACAAGTATTTAGGAGAAGGTTTTTGAATGTTTATTTGTGAAAGATAGTATCAATTTTGTGGATAGTGAGTCTGGCTGTCATATAAATACGACAGAGATTACGTGGCGGCATGTTAAAGCTACATTGCCTACTTATAATCGCAAATGTGATTTTGTGTTTTTATTTGGTGGTTTATACATTTTTCCATCATTGTTCTGAAATGGGAGAGAATTCTTTTAACAAATTTGTGGTGAAATTGTTTTGGTGATGTTTGATATTGGTATTCTGCTGTTCGAAGAAGCATTCATTCATGGTAAGTGCATTTTATTTTATTCTTTTTCTTATTTTGTAGAATGTTACGTTCATTGTTTTTTTTTTTAGTATGAATTTATGTCATTATTGCTGTTTTTTTTAATTGTTTGAAATTTATTTTAGTTATCTTAGTTTATTTGGTAAAAGTATATTTTAGGGTACCCCTTGGCGAAACTTGGCGATTTTCAGCGGTACATGGATACCGAGTTTGTGCAATTCCTTAACTTGTTATTTTGGCTTGGGTAGTGGCGATAAGTCAAAATAACAACACAAAGAATTGCACAAACTCGGTATCCATGTACACATCGACGTGTTTTCACTTACAAAAATATCCCAGAATTGCACAAAAATGCACAAAAATTGTGCACTCCCTTGACTTTATACATGTACACATCGACCTATTTTCACTTAAAAGAACATCAGAGAATTGCACAAACTAGGCTAAATTGCCACTACACAAAGATA